GTGCCCCTTTGCCTTCTCCTCCTGCTTCCTCTCTTCCTGCTCTTGCCGACCCGGAGTCGGACTCTCTTCGTGCTGCCAGTCCTACTGTCACGCGTCTCCTTGCTACTGCCGTCACTGACCCTTCTTTTGAGTCTTCTGCAGCGTCTGCCCTTGTCACTGAGCTCGTCGACTTTGCTGCGCGCTGTCGTCTAGACTACGCTGCTAGTCTTGTCGCTGAGTCTGAGTCTGCCTGTCCTCCGTCCGTCGGGGGTGAGTGTGCCCTTGGGACGGACGTCCTTGAGGACAGGCAGGAGGAGTTCCAGTGTCTGGCCGCCGCTTCACCTCATCTCGCGTCTGTACTGCTCGCCCCTGAGGGAGACCCGGATGCACTAGACATCCCGACTCCGTGCTCTTACGCAGAGGCGATAGAGGGTCCCTACTCCTCTCAGTGGCAGGCAGCTATGGATGCAGAGATGGCTTCCTGGAGGTCCACAGGCACCTACGTTGACGCTCTTCCCCCTCCTGGGGCGAACATAGTCAGTGGCATGTGGATCTTCAGGGTGAAGCGGCCGCCGGGTTCTCCGCCTGTCTTCAAGGCGCGTTACGTGGCTCGTGGCTTCAGTCAGCGGCAGGGAGTTGACTACTTTCAGACCTTCTCTCCCACCCCGAAGATGACCACTCTTCGGGTACTACTGCACGTTGCTGCTCACCGTGACTACGAGCTACACTCTCTCGACTTCAGCACTGCTTTCTTGCAGGGCAGCCTGCACGAGGAGATCTGGCTGCGTCGCCCACCTGGCTTCACTGGGTCTTTCCCTCCTGGTACCCAGTGGAGTCTCCGGCGTCCAGTCTACGGTCTCCGCCAGGCGCCACGTGAGTGGCACGACACACTGAGGACTACGCTGGCGGCACTTGGGTTTGCTCCTTCTACTGCCGACCCGTCGCTGTTTCTGCGCACCGACACCTCTCTGCCGCCGTTCTACGTCCTCGTGTACGTCGACGACTTGGTCTTTGCCACAGCTGACACTGCTTGACTCACCTACGTGAAGTCCGAGCTGCAGAAGAGACACACGTGCACTGACTTGGGTGTACTGCGCAGCTACCTTGGCTTGCAGATCACCCGGGACAGAGCACGCCGCACCATTACCCTGACTCAGTCACACATGGTGCAGCAGGTCCTTCAGCGCTTCGGCTACACGTACTCCTCGCCTCAGGCCACTCCTCTGCCTACTCGCCACTCGCTCTCAGCTCTGCCTTCGGATGAGTCCGTAGAGTCGAGTGGCCCGTATGCAGAGCTTGTTGGCTGCCTCATGTACCTGATGACCTGCACACGACCTGACCTTGCATACCCTCTTAGCATTCTTGCACGCTATGTTGCTCCTGGGAGATACCGACCAGAGCACATGGCTGCAGCGAAGAGGGTGTTGCGCTACTTGTGCAGTACGTCGGGCATGGGGCTAGTGCTTGGAGGGCGGAGTCCAGTGGTCCTCACTGGGCACGCAGACGCTTCTTGGGCTGACGACCAGGCTACGCAGCGGTCGTCACAGGGTTACACCTTCAGCCTTGGTTCCGGCTCTGTTTCGTGGCGGGCTACCCGCTCGTCTTCTGTCCTCGGCTCCAGTTGTGAGGCTGAGATCTACGCCGGGGCTATGGCTGCCCAGGAGCTTCGCTGGCTCACCTACCTGCTGACCGACCTTGGAGAGCCGCCTCGTTCTCCTCCAGTCCTGTACGTAGACAACAAGGCCATGCTGGCCTTGTGTCGAGAGCAGCGACTGGAGCACAGGACAAAGCATATTGCTCTCCGCTACTTTCTTGCTCGTGAGCTACAGCAGCGTGGACAGTTGCGACTTGCGTACGTGGCCTCTGAGGCCAACACTGCTGATGTCTTCACCAAGGCACTTGCGCCTTGTGATCATCAGCGCTGCTGCACGCAGCTGGGTCTTGTGCCTGTCTTGCCTCACTTGCTCACTTCTTGACCTTGCTTGTACCTTCACCTATATATACTCTTGCCCTTGCTTGCTTGACTCTTGTATATCTCTGTATATGATCTTGCATGTGGACTGGCCTTCTGGCCTTTGAACTTGTGCTCGGATTGTGTGGTGACTTTGTGATCCACCCTGATCTTTGCTTTGCTTTGCTTGACTGGTGTTGTGACCCCTTGTTCTCCCCCACTTTGCCTATGGGGGTCTGTCAGAACATTATAGCTTACTTATTTGTGTAGGCTATAGTGGGGTATCCCATAGGGGGTACAACCCAATTAGGGTTTCCTATTTGTACTCACTTCGTTCATAGTCATTTCATTCTGGTTCTATTCTTCTCATGGTATCGAGCAGGTTCCCCTGTAGGAACTGTGCTTAGGGCCCACCACTACTTTGAATACCATCTCCTTCCTTCAACTGTAATTCTTTACCATCGTTGTCATCGCTATCATTGCCTTATATAAATGTCATATTTAGCTAACCCTTATTTGTCTCAACGGCTGTAACATTACTCAGAGTTGCCAACAGAGCATGAGCGTCATGTTCAGTCTCTTTGACGACGAAGTTGTTCTATTGTTATTGTTTTGACTTTGTTCTGGTTTGAGTTGGGGTTTGTGTGTGTGTGTGTGTGTGTGTGTGTGTGTGTGTGTGTGTGTGTGTGTGTGTGTGTGTGTGTGTTTGTGTGTGTGTGTGTGTGTGTGTGTGTGTGTGTGTGTGTGTGTGTGTGTGTGTGTGTGTGTGTGTGTGTGTGTGTGTGTGTGTGTGTGTGTGTGTGTGTGTGTGTGTGTGTGTGTGTGTGTGTGTGTGTGTGTGTGTGTGTGTGTGTGTGTGTGTGTGTGTGTGTGTGTGTGTGTGTGTGTGTGTGTGTGTGTGTGTGTGTGTGTGTGTGTGTGTGTGTGTGTGTGTGTGTGTGTGTGTGTGTGTGTGTGTGTGTGTGTGTGTGTGTGTGTGTGTGTGTGTGTGTGTGTGTGTGTGTGTGTGTGTGTGTGTGTGTGTGTGTGTGTGTGTGTGTGTGTGTGTGTGTGTGTGTGTGTGTGTGTGTGTGTGTGTGTGTGTGTGTGTGTGTGTGTGTGTGTGTGTGTGTGTGTGTGTGTGTGTGTGTGTGTGTGTGTGTGTGTGTGTGTGTGTGTGTGTGTGTGTGTGTGTGTGTGTGTGTGTGTGTGTGTGTGTGTGTGTGTGTGTGTGTGTGTGTGTGTGTGTGTGTGTGTGTGTGTGTGTGTGTGTGTGTGTGTGTGTGTGGTGTGTGTGTGTGTGGTGTGTGTGTGTGTGTGTGTGTGTGTGTGTGTGTGTGTGTGTGTGTGTGTGTGTGTGTGTGTGTGTGTGTGTGTGTGTGTGTGTGTGTGTGTGTGTGTGTGCGTGTGTATTCATCTATACTCATTCACTCATTGCATTGACAATGCATGTCTGTGGGTTTTAAAAACTTGATCAGCCTATCATTTCCAAGAACGTTCTTTGCGCACTCAGTGAGTGTGTCCACTTGAATGGGATTTGATAGAACTGATCATTTTTTTAGGATACACAGATTGTGTTGTATTCATGTGATAGTTGTATGAGTTAAATGCTAGGCTATTGACTTCTCCCCCATGCTAGGCAGGGGATGCGGTAGCCTAGTTGTTTAGGTCTTATATAACTATCACGCATTTCTATCATTTAGTGGCATACATACTGCAATAACATGTACCATACTATTATGCATTCTACTACGCATCATATTCATGCATTATGCAATCATTATTTTAAAACCATCATACTAATATACGCATTACTGGATTCACAGCTACAAAGTAGGCAAAAGGTTAACACACAGACGGAACGGAGCACATGGCCACATACGTATCACAACAAGTATAGTAAGGTAGCCATTGAAGTAGTACTCGTTTTGTTTTTCATATTTAAAATTTACCAAATATGAAAAAAAAATGAACATAACGATTGTAATAGGTTGCTTCACAACCCCAAAAAGTGCGAATAATCTTCCCGCACCAAATTGCAGAGCCAGCAAGAAACAACCCTGTAATCGTGCGAAATGCCCGCGGTATTTCCCTACAAGCACTCCGTAAGCACCACTAAACCACCACTTTCGCACTCGCTGTTTTTCCACGCGAGCACACCGTAAGCGTTTTGGGATGCTCGACGTGGGCTTTAAGCCTTGTTATGCGCGTTCCGAGAATTCATCGTTAGGGCTGAGCACCCCCAATGCGCCAACAGAGCAGGGCTACACAGCCTGCCTGTCAGCTGCGGATCCAGGCAGCTGACTGGAACACTCGCCTCGCCAGCCACCTGATCAGATCACCTCTCACGCCCTTCCGCGCTAGCATCGAGCCTCTCATCTTCACGTCGAACAATCCCCGCCCCTCGTATTCCGCGCCGCGTCGCGCTCCATGTAGAATGCTTAGATTTGTATCAAGCGTCTGAACCATTCGACCGTTGTCGTCTGCGACCTCGTCGTCGAATTCTCGCTCTCGCCACTCTCCGGCTGCTAGCCTGCCGCCCACCTGTCGGTCCTCGGCAAGCTCGCCGGCACTGCGGGTGCGCTGCGTGGCGTCACACAGTCTTCCTGGCGGCCAGCGCAGCCTCAGCTGCTTCCGTCTGCCGCGTATCCCGACGTCACCTTGCGCGCTGCTGCGTGATCGTGTACGGGTTCGACATGCGACGGTGAGCAGGGACTCAAGGGTCAGCAAGTGAAGCTGACGTCACTCCGCAGCCAGCGGTGATCCCGCGCGTATGGCCACATACGGAGGTCGCTCACGCCCCTCCATCCCCGCCTTCACTGCGCCCCGTTCTTCCGCCGCCCCTCGCGCATCTCCACGCCCCCCATCCCCTCCGCGCTACACCCACGCCTCCGCGCAATCCGCCAACTCGTCTCTGCTGTCCACATTGCAATAGTAACGCTAAAGCTAACGCCAACGGTAACGGTAACGGTAACGGCAGCAGCAGCAGCGGGTCCGCCATCACAGCATGCGCGCGGCCGCTACCTCATCCGCCTCCGCGCACGCCTCCCCCTCGCCGTCCCGCTCGCCCCCCCACCCGTCCGCCACGTCGATGGCGCGCGCGCTGGCGAGCGGCAGCGCGGAGGACGCCAAGGCGGCGGGCAACGAGTACTACAAGGCGGGCCGCTTCGCCGACGCGCTTCAGCTCTACGACCGCGCCGTCGCGCTCGCGCCCGCGCGCGCACACTACCGCGCCAACCGTGCCGCCGCTCTGTCCGCGCTCAACCGGGTGGCAGACGCCGTCGCGGACTGCGAAGAGGCCGTGCGGCTGGACGGCAGCTACGCTCGCGGGCGGCAGCGTTTGTCTGGTCTGTACCTGCGGCTGGGGCGGGTGGAGGACGCGCGCGCGCAGATGGCGGAGATGGCGGAGGGGGAGGCGGCGGAGGAGCGGGCGCGGGTGGAGAGGGTGGAGAGGTGCGTGGCGCGGTGCGAGCAGAGCGTGCGGGCGGGCGACTGGCAGGGCGCGGTGGTGGAGGCGGACGGCGCCCTCAGGGATGGCGCTGACCTCGCCCCGCAGGTGGGTTGTGGGTGGTGTGTGGGCAATGTGTGAGCACGAGTGGGGTGTGAAGCATGGTGCACATGGTGCATCGTGCATGGGGCATTGTGCATGCTACTCAATCACGGCGTGTCATTCGGTTCGGGGTGTCTGGGTTTGTTTACGAGCCTCCATCCGCCTCCCCCTTCCCCACCCCCCTCCCCCTTCCCCCCTCCCCCGTTCCCCCGTCCCCACCACTTCCCCCCCTCCCCCACCAGCTGTGGCTGTGGAGGGCGCGCAGCTGCAGGCATCTCGCGCGCCTCTCAGAGGCGGAGGCCGCGCTGACGTCAGCGAGGGGGGCGCTGACAGCGCTGCGGGCGTCAGTGGCGGGCGAGGGGGCGGGCGGGGGGCGAGGGCGGGCGGTGAGAGCGGTGGAGGGCGACGTGGTGGATGAGGACGTGCGCCTCTCGCTGCTGCTCGGCAGGTGTGCGGGAGTTTGGAGCCCGGGGGGTAAGAGTGCCGGCAGTGAGAGCGATGGGGGGGTGGGGGGAGGGGGGGGTGGGGGGTAATGGGAGGGGCCGTGCTGTGCGGCCTAAGATTCACCCATGAGGGTCATCTCGCTCCCTCTCCTCCGCTCCCGGTTAGCGCCCCCACTTTCCCGACCCCCACCTCTCTGCTGGCCATGCTCCCTGCCGCCCCTCACCTGCTGCACACCTACCCTTCAAGTAAACCCTCCCTCCCCTCCTAGCTCCTCCAGTCATGCTCTCCTCTCCTCTGCCCACCTTCCTCGCATGGCGCCAGGCTCATGTGGGCCAGCCTGCAAGGTGAGTTGCTTTGTCCCAACATCTGCACCACTGCACCGCACCACCTCTACCCCCCCTCCTTGCCCTGTGCTTGCCCCCTCCCTCCCCGGTGCAGGTTCGACTTGGCAGTGGCGAGGGCGGAGCAGGGCGCCAAGCTCTTCCCCGACCACCCCGCGCTGCCCGCGCTGCTCGCCACTGCACGCCAGCTGGCGGCGGCCCGCACGGGCGGCAACGAGCTGTTCAAGGTGGGCGACGCGGCGGGCGCAGCGGAGGCGTACTCGCGGGGGATAGTGGCGGGCGGCGAGGGCAACCCGGTGCTGCTGTGCAACCGCGCTGCGTGCCGCATGCAGCAGCGCCGCTGGCACGACGCCCTTGTGGACTGCCAGCGCGCCCTCGCTGCCCACCCCGCCTACTGCAAGGCGCTGCTCCGCCAGGCCACGTGCCACTCCCAGGTGAGAAGGGAGGGAGAGGAGGGAAGGGGAGGGGAAGGGGGGAAGAGGGCGGGTGGTGGCAGGAGGGAAGAAGGAATGGAGGGGTGGTTGTGAGGAGGGAGGCATTGTTTCACGACCTGAGTTTTGTGAATGCTCTATCTGCCGCTGAACGCTGCTCTGCCACAACTGATGCGTGCCCTGCGAACCCACACGGACCAACTTGACTTGTCTTTCCGTCAACCCAGAAAACCTGGCACTTGGCGACACGCCCCTTTATTCTCAATCTTTTCTCCCCTGTATCCCTCCCCTCGCCCCCCCTCCCCTCCGTCTTCTCCCGTCACCCCACGGCGGTGGTGGAGGGCAGCTGCAGCAGTGGGAGGCGGCGCACCGGGACTACCTGCAGCTGCGCCAGCTCATGCCCAACGACGCTGATGTGGCCAAGGCCTTGGCTGACGTGGAAGCGAAGCTGAATAAGGCTGGAATGCCAGGCAGCAGTGGGGCGGATGGCAAGAGGGGCGGCAGTGCGGCAGGGGGAGGGGGTGGCAGCAGTGGCAGAGTGGTGGCGGTGCGCACCGACAGCGAGTTCCGAGGGGCTGTCACCAGCATGGGTGCGTTCCTTGACAGCAGTGCAATGCTTCTCTGCTCCTCTGCCACCTTTGCAGGTGCTGGAACTGTCTTGTGCTTTCATCCCTTCTGCCCGAGCGTTCACCCCTGTCCTGTGCCATGACCTCGTGCATGGTGCGTGCAGGGCTGGTGGTGGTGGCCTTCAGTGCTGCATGGTGCGGCCCATGCCGCCAGGCCGCGCCGCTGTTTGAGCGCCTCAGCGCCGCGCACCCCACCGTCAAGTTCCTCAAGGTGTGCCACCCCTCTCTCGTAGATGCCTGCACTGAGGCAAGGTGGTGGGGTCGGGGAGAGGTGCTGGCCTGCATGCACAGCAAGCAGGAACAGCAAGCTTTGGTAGTGAGTATTCAGTGGATGCGGGTGCACACATGATGCACACGTGATGCACACATACCGCACACATGCCGCACACATGATGCACACATGCCACACACATGACGCACACATGCCGCACACATGCTGCACACATGCCGCACACATGCCGCACACGTGTATCCTGTGTGCCCCCCTGGCAGGTGGACATTGATGTGCTGCCGGAGGTGGCAGCACGAGAGGGTGTGCAGTCGGTGCCGACGTTCAAGGTGTGGAAGCACGGTGCCCGCGCCACGGAGGTGGTGGGCGCACAGCTGCCGCAGCTGGACGCCGCCATCCGCTCTGCCCTCAAGTCGCTCAGCCACGGCTTCTGATGGCCTCGCCGCCCACACCTGCACAAGCTTAAAAAACTAGAGCCTCCTGACAGGGCGGGCAGGACTGATTGGCTTGGATGCAGTGCACACCCTTCGCTACTAGCCATCGCCATCAGACTGAGAGGCATTGCGTAGTCCAATGTCATCACCTATGCACTTACCGTCCTCCTGTGCACCTGTTCATTTAATAATAAACCCGTGTTTTCTGTTGGGAACAATAAATCCTAAAGCGCCTCTGTCGTGTCAAAACCCAAGACACTAGCGAAGCAGTCCGAATCGAAGCATCGAGTCAAACCTCGGAGGTTAGAGTAACCGCCTGGAGGTTACGGGAAAGTCAAAGGTCAGCGACCTTTGACTCGACAATTACAGCGCGACAGTTAAGGACACACAACTGACTCGTTACAGAGCAGTTGCCCGAGTCGCACTGTATCGAATCGCAACAGCAATACAGTTATCTATCTATTTGTATTCCCTGTACTCTTATATAAAAACCTTGTATTTGCTTGTTTAATTAAATCTACTTTGCTCTCACACACTAGTGCAAGGTCGGTTCACAAACTTCATTAAAACGCTTCCGCTATTACAAATTTCCTACCCAGAGTTATCCTCTGCAAAGATCTGTCAGAATACTGTTATAACTGCATGTAGTTCTAGTGTAGTGTAGTTCTATATTTGTACTTTCTTGGTGGTGCACCCTTTCCTGAACTATATCTTGTACCTCTTTCTCATATTGAACCATTCATTTCTCCTCTCTCTTGGCACAAACCACTCGACTTCTCCTTGGCCTAGGCTACTAAGCCTAGGCCCCCACTTAACTCTCAACTACCTCTTAAGCTCGTTATTCAACATGGCATTAGAGCGAGTTACGTCCTGGCCTGTGGGCCCGCCTCACGCTTCCGCTACTATTTTTCCGGTCGCGCGCCTCGGGCGCGTGACGATTTTCGTTCTGTCCCGCGCCCGGGTGGCGCGTAACGTTTTTTCTGCCCGTCGCGGACCCGCCCCTGGCGCCCGCGACGGTGCCCTGAGCCGTCGCGGACCCGCCCCTGGCGCCCACGACGGTTCCCTGAGCCGTCGCGGACCCGCCCCTGGCGCCCGCCACGGTTCCCTGAGCCGTCGCGGACCCGCCCCTGGCGCCCACGACGGTTCCCTGAGCCATCACGGACCCGCCCCTGGCGCCCGCCACGGTTCCCTGAGCCGTCGCAGACCCGCCCCTGGCGCCTGCGACGGTTCCCTGAGCCGCCGCGGACCCGCCCCTGGCGCCCGCGACGGTTCCCTGAGCCGCCGTGGACCCGCCCCTGGCGCCCGCGACGGTTCCCTGAGCCGCCGCGGACCCGCCCCTGGCGCCCGCGACGGTGTCTTGAGTCGCCGCGGACCCGCCCCTGGCGCCCGCTGCGGTGCCACTGCACCACCCAGCGCCTGCCCTTGGAGCAGCCGCCCCCGCTCCTCCACTCGGTGCAGCCGCCTCTGCCTCACCCCGCGCCTGCACTCGCTGCAGCCGCCTCTGACCTACCCGCGCCGACCCTCTGTAGCCGCTCTGCGGCTTTCTCCTTGCCCACCCCCTCCTCCTTCGTCTTCCTGCAGCCGTGGGGGGGAGGGCATGGGGGTGGCGGGTGTGGGGTGATGGGTGGTGTGTTTCCCTTCCCCTCCTCCTTTCGTTCCCACTGCTGCAGCTGCTGCTGGGGGGGAGGGTGTGAGGGTGTGGGGGAGCCCGGGGAGTGGCATTGGGGTGGCGGATGTGAGACAAACCAGCCCCAGTCCCTCTGAGGTGGGGGGGGGGGGGGAGGAGAGTAAGGGGGTGGCAGGAGTGCCTGCCCCCCCCCCCCCCTTTGCTGCCTGTACCTGCTCTGCTGCCTTGCGCTGTTTCTCTGTCTGTGGTGTACCCCTGCAGGTTGTGTCCTGCACTTCACTATTCCTGCATGCAGTTACGGGGGGATGTCAGAATACTGTTATAACTGCATGTAGTTCTAGTGTAGTGTAGTTCTATATTTGTACTTTCTTGGTGGTGCACCCTTTCCTGAACTATATCTTGTACCTCTTTCTCATATTGAACCATTCATTTCTCCTCTCTCTTGGCACAAACCACTCGACTTCTCCTTGGCCTAGGCTACTAAGCCTAGGCCCCCACTTAACTCTCAACTACCTCTTAAGCTCGTTATTCAACAAGATCCTTAAGGGCTTTCTCAGCCCAACATGGTATGAGAGCTGACAGGGGAAAACTCAATTTTTTTTCAAGATCATTACAAGACATGGCAACAAACAAGGAAAGGAGCTCCCCTAATGGCTCCTCGGGCACTACTCCTACTCCACCGCCAGCCTCTGGCCTGCAGACAGAGGAAGGCACGGCAGCAAGACCAAGGGGAACGTCAACCGAGACCCCCACGAACCATCCTTCTGACTTCGACCAGAGCATGATGGAGAAATTTTTCTCCTTCATGTCCTTCTACGAGCAACACCAGCAGTCGAGACCTGCACAGACACACAACAGCAACAACGGAGCGACACCCATGAGCCTTGACGGATCGTCATATGCGCGAGGGAATCAACAGCAGCAACCCACCTTTGCCCCGTACGAGCGCGGGTCGATCAGCTTCCTGCCTCAACCTCCACCTACGCAAGACAAACCAATGGACGCGTTACAAGTCCAGTCGCAATTCGCGCATGTCTTGAAACTGCAGACATCAAGACCTTTTGACGGAAAGGACTTCTTCACCTGGTCCTTTGAATTCGAGCTGATGATGGAGGGCGCGCAGATACTCGGCTTCTTCGACGGATCCCTGCAGTATCCAGTAAACGGAACACAGTATGAGAAGCAGCAGTATACGTATCAATCGATGATGGCGTATACTATTCTACTGAGAAACATCACACCAACTCAGCAGCAGAACATTCGCTCTTACCGGAACTTCGGCAACTCGGCGGAACTTGCGTACGGCCATCTGAAGAACCTGTATCAAGCAACAGACAGTGTAAACCAGAGCAGGTTAATGGCGCAATTGACAACAGTTGAAATGAAACCAGGAGAAAAGGGATTGGCGTATATCAGCCGATGTCGCGAATTGCGCGACAAGCTTCTTCGATGCGGAGGATCAATCTCTGAAGACGCCTTCGTGACAGTCATCATCGGTGGCCTCGGTCCTCAGTGGCGCGCCACCAAAGCAATTCTTCGAGCCCACGGAAGAATCTCTGAAGCAGCACTTTGCGCTGAAATCCACGCCGAGCAGCAGGACATGGACCTGCAAGAAGAAAGGCACAAGAAAAAGGCATTAGCACCGGAGTTCGCTTTCCATACTCAGCGACGACACAACAACTACAACAACCGACAGCAGCAGCCGAAGCCAGTACCTCCGTTTTGTCATATCTGCAAAACATCAGGACATCCACGCACGCATTGCCCGTCCCGTCAGACAACACCACAGCGACAACTGCGGCCTTCAAGCTCCCAAGTTGCTTCGACACAAGCAAGTCCGACAACCACGATTCAAGCTTCAACGACTTCAACTGGACAACCTGCACAAGGAGCAAGAAACATAGTCAACTGCATGGTCAAGATAAACGATTCTTGCATAACAGAGTCACCACCCCACTACTCACCAGAAGAGGAGCTCGACAACAGGACGCCCCGCCGCGAATCACTCCAGCCGAATCCGACGTACGCCGCCATCGCTCAAAGTGAACCGTCCGGCCAAGACACTTGGTTTTTGGATAGTTGCTGCGGGCAACACATGTGCTCGTCCGAACGCTTCGTACAACGCGAACACCGACTCCAACGAGAAGTTGTCATCACGGTCGCCAACAATCAAAACCTGCGCACACGACGACAAGGAGTGGTACAGCTTCAGTCAAGAGAAACAAATGTCATACTGCACATGTCAAAGGTACTCATCGCTGAAGGACTCGGTTACAACTTACTGAGTGTTAGCCAGTTGATGGCGAAGGGGATTCACCTGGAAGCCGACAGCACCACCCAAGAGTTCAAGCTATACCACGGGAGAGGCGGCCTCTACATCGGGAAAGCAGTATTGAAGAACAATGTCTTCGTCCTCGACTTCGTTCCTGACCTGGGCACTGCAGACAGCGACGCCATCGTGAATTTCACTGACTGGACACACCCTCCGGATCTCGATCCTGACTTCAGCCCGGGAGGTTTCTGGTACTCCCACACTATCCCTGAAACGGAACGAACACGAGCGTTAGCAACGATTCATCAAACGGCAGCACCAGAGATAACATCGGCAGCAGCAACAACTTCGGCAGCAGCAGCAACAACTTCGGCAGCAGTAGAGACAACATCGACAGCAGCAGAGACAACATCAGCAGCAGCAGGAACAACGACACCAGTCACAGTCGACAAAGCACCACCAACACCCGCACAACAGCTGAATCCGACTCAACGTGAAGTCCACCGAAGCGCCAACTTCGTCGCCAGTTTTTACTCCAACTCTGACGCATACCAACGTTCACCCGGACACCGCGCCTCTGAAGAAATCTGGCACGCACGCACAGGACATCCAAGCAACACGGTTTTAAACAACACGATAAGAGCAGGAGTTCTTGACAAAGACTCCCTACTTCTAGCAGACGGCAGAGAACTCCAAAAGGCACGAGGGACTTGCCTTATATGCCCCGAAGCTGACTTACCTCATCGACCGTTCGCTCCACATCACAACCCGAGCGCTCCAGCGTACGCACCACTCGAAAAAGTCTACAGCGATATCCTCTACAATCGCGAACCAGGACAAGTCAACTACAACTACACCATCACCTTCATCGACGCCGCCACTCGATACGTCTGGCATCGCAACCTACCCAGCCGCGACATGGCACTCGCAGCATTCGCCGCCTGGCTACCGATAGCAGAGAGAGAGTCTGGAACACAACTAAAAAGCTTCCAGTCAGACGGAGGTGGCGAGTACACCTCTCAGCGCTTCAAGCAGTTCCTGGCGGAAAGGAGGATCAAGCAACTCCTCTCCCTTCCCTACGCACATCAGCAGCAGGGTGTT